GTGCAGCGGTAGCTTGCAGCGGTTAGTTGCAGCTGCTGCCGCTTCTGCTGCAGCAGCTGTTGCTGCAGCAGCTGTCGCTGCTGCAGCTGTTGCTGCTGCAGCCTTTACAGCATTTGAACAGCACCTGCTGCCGCCAGTTGCTGCAGCAACAGCAAAGTGCAGCAACAGCAAGCTGCAGCAGCAGCAACTTGCAGCAGCAGCAACCTGCAGCAGCAGCAAGCTGCAGCAGCAGCTTTAGATTTGTGTTTGGGGTGGGTTAACTCTTTTTGTGTTTTTGTTTTGTTTAAAATCTTAATTTTATTTTTGTTTTTGTGGCTGCCGTCTTCTCTGCTTTGTTGCTGCTGCATTTATTTGTTTTTGTTTTATTGTTTTATTTTTATTTTAATTATTTTCTGTTTTTGTTTGCTTTGTTTGTTTATTTTATTTATTTATTTTATTTGTTTTGTTTGTTTTGTTTATTTTATTTATTTATTTATTTATTTTCGTGGGTTTTGTTTTGTTTTGTTTTTGTTCGTCTGCAAAAGTAAACAGGCACAGCAGCAACTGCAGCAGCAGCAAACTGCTGCAGCAGCAAATACAGAGAGCAGCAGCAGTTGCAGCAATACAGCAGCAACTGCAGCAGCAACTGTAGCAGCAAGAAACAGACTACAATTACAGCAGCAGCAGCAACCAGAGGCAGCTGCAGCAGCAAAGACAACAGCAGCGACAAAGATAACGCAACAGAAGCAGCAGCAAAGAAAAACACAACAGCAGCAGCAAAAACAAGAAGAAGTAGCAACAACAAAAGCAGGAAACAGCAGCAGCAATACTAGACAAAAACAGCAGCAGCAACAGCAGCAACAACGAGAGGTGCTGCTGCAGTAAGCAGCATAATAAACAAAGTGAGGACAGAAAAAAGAAAAGAAATTGAAGTAGAGTAAATTGAATTAAACAAATTAAATAAAATAAATAAATAAAACAAACAAAAACAACAGAAACATACAACGGGGCCTCCGCCCCCACTCAGTCGCCTGCGGTGTTGCTGCTGCTGCAGTGCAGCGGCAGCAAATAATAAATAAACAAACAAGTAAATAGAACCCCAATTGAATAACTAAAATAAAAGAAGAATTTAGAGTTAATTTATTTAGAAAAAGAAGCAGCAACGCATACAATAAAATACTGCAGCAGCAGCGCAGACAGACCCGCCGCTAGCGCTGCTGCTGCTGCGGCTGCGGCTGCTGCTGCTGCTGCTGCTGTTGCTGCTGCAAGCTGGGGCCCCTCTAGTGGCTGAGGTGTCTCTCGTTTACTGCAGTTTAGTTTTTTAAATTATTTCTTTCATTAAAGCTGAGGTAAATCGCAAAAGAAAGAAAAAATAGGTGCTGCAGCAGAGGCCCCCTCATTTTGATGTCGTCAGCAGCTGCGGTGTATATACACTTGTTCTTTATATTCATTCTTGCTTGTTTTCTTCTTTCCTTGTTCAATAATTGACTCTTATTCACCCTCTTTAGGGTATCTTTTCTCTCTTATTCTCCCTATTTAAACAGCTAGCTAGCTAGCTAGCTAGCTAGCTGTCATGGCTTACCAGCAGCAAGACCCCCCTCTTAGGGCCTTCATAGGCGACAGCCCAGCACTTAGTAAGGTCTCTTCTCTTTCTTCTCTGCATTTCCCTCTTCCTTCTTTAAACACAAACATCGACAGACGCACTCAGGAGCTCGACACGAGAGACAGAGGCCCGCCCTACATTAGCAGCAGCAGCAGCAGCAGCAGCAGCAGCAGCAGCAGCAGCAGCAGCAGCAGCAACAACAACAACGGCGGCTACCAGTACCCTCCAGATGGGCAAGATCATGTAGAAACGCAACAGCAAGGACGTCGCAGCAGCAGCTGCTGCGGCGGCAGTAACTGCAGCAACAGCTGCTGCTGCAGCAGCAACTCCAGCAGCAGCAACTGCAGCAGCAGCCCTCGCTTCTCCCGGGCTGGGGGAGCGCAGCTGCTGCATCATGCCGATGCCTTTGACAGGCAGTCTCCTACGCACTACACCCCTTTCACACAGCCTATATCGCAGCAGCAGCAGCAGCAGCAGCAGCAGCAGCAGCATCTCTACAAGCAGCAAGAACACAACTCGCAATATTACAGCCAGAACCAGCAGCAGCAGCACGCCATGCAGCCGCAGCAGCAGCTTCACCTGCAGCAGCTTCCTCAGCAGCAGCAGCAGCAGCAGCACGTTATGCAGCCGCAGCAGCAGCTTCACCTGGAGCAGCTGCCTCAGCAGCAGCAGCAGCAGCAGCAGCAGCAACATGCTGGAATGTCTGATGCTTCTCTAGAAGATTTGTCTCCGCTGCATTTGTCTTATATTAACCAGAGAGGAGCAGCAGCAGTCTTTCAGCGCAGGGAGCAGCAGCACCATGCACATATATGCGGCAGTGAGGCTCTTGCTGCTGCTGGCAGCACCGATGTGGGGCCAGCTGCAGCAGAAGCAGAGGCAGCAGCAGCAGGAAGCAGCGGGCTTCAGGCTCCTTCTCCT